GCAAACGACTCTTTGTTGGTGCAGTGATTGTGATGTGCTCCCCTCCTTTGTATCCCCACTCACCAACTGATGTAAATTCTTGATTGCCAAGAGTCAATACCACTTGGATAAAGGACTTTTCTGGGTGTGGATTCTCCTGTCTTCCATTTCTGCAGTACTCCAGGGAATTTGGTGGAGAAATGGAAGTGAGGAGAATCCAGGAAGTTAAAACTCTTTATATGCACCCTCTGATATTAACCCCTCTTAATGTGCACCCCAACACTAACACTTCTTTATATGAACCCCCTGATACTAACCCCTCTTTATATGAACCCCCTGATACTAACCCCTCTTTATATGAACCCCCTGATACTAATCCCTCTTTATATGAACCCCCTGATACTAACCCCTCTTTATATGAACCCCCTAATACTAACCCCTCTTTGTATGAACCCCCTGATACTAACCCCTCTTTATATGAACCCCCTGATACTAACCCCTCTTTAAATGTGACTGCCAATACTAACCTCTTTTCATATGTGACCGCCAGTACAAACCCCTCTATATACAGTTGTAAGAAAAAGTATGTGAACCCCTTGGGATTACGTGGAGTTTTGCATGAATTGGGCATAAAATGTGCTCTGAACGTCATCTAAGTCACAACAATAGAAGAACACAGTCTGCTGAACATAATACTACACAAACATTAGATGTTGCCATGGTTTAATTGCACATAACATGTAAACATTCACAGTGCACGGAGGAAAAAGTATGTGAGGCCCTAGCTTAATGACTTCTCCCAGAGCTAATTGGAGCCAGGAGTGAGCCACTTGACTCCAATCAGTGTGATGATATTGGATGTGTTGCTGACAGCTGTCCTGCCCTTAAAAAACACACACCTGTTTTGGGTTTATTGGTTTCAAGAAGCACTGTGTGATGTGAACCATGCCTCGCAGAAAAGAGCTCTCAGAAGACCTACGATCAAGAATTGTTGACTTGCATGAAGCTGGAAAGGGTTACAAAAGTATCTCTAAAAGCCTTGATGTTCATGTGTCCACGGTAAGACAGACTGTCTACAAATGGAGAAAGTTTAGCACTGTTGCTACTCTCCCTAGGCGTTGTCGTCCTGTAAAAATGACTGCAAGAGCACAGCGCAGAATGCTGCATGAGGTAAAGAAGAATGCCAGAGTGTCAGCTAAAGACCTACAGAAATCTCTGGCACATGCTAACATTTTTGTTGACACATCTACAATAAGGAAAACATTAAACAAGAATGGAGTACATGGGAGGACACCACGGAGGAAGCCATTGCTGTCCAAAAAGAATATTGCAGCACGTTTGAAGTTTGCAAAAGAGCACCTGGATGTTCCACAGCACTACTGGCAAAATATACTGTGGACAGATGAAACCAAGATTGAGTTGTTTGGGAAGAACACACAACACTATGTGTGGAGAAAAAAAGGCACAGCACACCAACATTAAAACCTCATCACCACTGTAAAACATGGCGGAGGGAGCATCATGGTTTGGGGCTGCTTTGCTGCCTCAGGGCCTGGAAGGATTGTTGTCATTGATGGGAAAATGAATTCCAGAGTTTATCAAGACATTTTGCAAGAAAACGTACGACCATCTGTCCACCAACTGAAGCTCCGCAGAGGATGGGTGATGCAACAGGACAATGACCCAAAGCATACAAGTAATTCAGCAAAACAATGGCTGCAACAGCACAGAATATGCCTTCTGGAGTGGCCCAGTCAGAGTCCTGACCTCAACCTGATTGAAATGCTGTGGCATGACCTTAAGAGAGCAATTCACACCAGACATCCCAAGAATATTGCTACACTGAATTAGTTTTGTGAAGAGGAGTGGTCCAAAATTACTCCAGATCATTGTGCAGGTCTGATCTGCAACTACAGGAAACGTTTGGTTGAGGTTATTGCTGCCAAAGGAGGGTCAAACAGTTATTAAGTCCAAAGGTTCACATACTTTTTCCTCCCTGCACTGTGAATGTTTACATGTTATGTGCAATTAAACCATGGCAACATCTAATGTTTGTGTAGTATTATGTTCAGCAGACTGTGTTCTTCTTCTTTTTTGTGACTCTGATGACGTTCAGAGCACATTTTATGCCCAATTCATGCAAAACTCCACGTAATCCCAAGGGGTTCACATACTTTTTCTCTGCAACTGTATATGCACACTATACTAGTAACCCCTCTATATATGTTCCCTCTGATACTAACCTCACTTTAAATGCACCTTCTGACACTAAGGGCTCGTTCACACTTGGCTGTTTTGCCAACGCTTGCCAAACGCCCCTATAGCGTTTGGCAAGCGTTGGTCCGGCGTTTGCTGAGCGTTTTTAACGCTCGGCAAACGCTCCGCAAACGCCGCATGCGCGGTTTAGCGGCGGTTGCTAGGCGTTTGCCGAGCGTTAATAACGCCCCACAAACGCCTATAATGCAGTTTGAGTGGTGTTACCGCTCCGTAAACGCCCCGCAACCGCGTCGCAAAACCGCACCGCAAACGCCGGCCGGGCGTTTGTGGAGCGGCACCATAGACGAGAATAGGAGGCTTCAAAGCCTCCTGACTCGTCCAGAGGCGTCCGTTTTGCCGCGACGCAACGCGACGCGACGCAAACGCTCCCGTTAGAACAGCACCATGTGCTGTAATGTGCAGAGTTGGCAGAGGCATTTGGGAAGCGGTAAAAACGCTTCCCAAACGCCTCTCTGCCGCCTGCACACAAGGCTAGTGTGAACGTAGCCTAACCCATCTTTTTATGTGTCCTCTGATACTAACCCCTCTTAACATGCACCCCCTGATACTAGCCCCTCTTTATGTGTGTCCACCAACAGTGGTGTATTTATGTTGTGCTGCCCTAGGCAACAAAAAAATTGTCTGCCCCCAAAGACACCAACCAACATAACCCCCTCTCCCCCCTCCTGTGGAGAAAGCCTGACACTGACCATTAACATCCCTGCCCCCCACTCAGGAGAGCCTTCCACTACCCCCCCTTCCCCCCCAGCAATAGACACTCATCCTCACAACTCTGGAAATCTCCAGGAACGAGAGTCAAGCTCTACATACACCATCAAACAGCCTGCAGCCTCTCTCAGATCCCACCTGGTTCCTATGGCGTGCATGTCCCTTCTTTCATCCCCTGAAAAATGAAGCCCTAGGCAAGTGCCTTGTTTGCCTTGCGGTAAATACACCCCTGTCCACCAATACAAGTCCCTCTTTATATGCACCCTCTGATAGTTACCCCTCTTTATATGCATCTTCTAATACTAACCATCTTTATATGCATCTTCTAATACTAACCCCTCTTTATATGCATCTTCTAATACTAACCCTTCTTTTTGTCACCTCCTCCCATGCTCACCTCTGGGACTTCTCCATAACCTCTCTCATCCTCTGGAACTCCCTACCACAGCATGTCCGGTCAGCTCCTAACCTGTCCACCTTTAGGTGATCCTTGAAAACTAATTTATTCTGGGATGCCTACCCCACATCCACCTAAAAACTCTACTTGAGTCACCACCACCATACCATCTCCTGAAGCTATTACCTTGTGTACCACCTCCCCCCCCCTTTAGATTGTAAGCTCTATAAGCAGGGCCCTCCTATTCCTTCTGCATTGAACTGTATTGTAATTGTACTGTCCCCATTCATATTGTAATGCCAAACTATTGTTGCTATAAAAATCCTGTATAATAATAACATTCTCTCCCTAATCTGGATAAGGATATGCTTCTCCCTTTTCTCTTCAACTAATCAGATACACTCAGGCAAACAAGAATGTTCTGATCGTGGCAGTTGGAACATCCCCCATGCCAGTCCGTGGCCACCTTGTGGCTAGCCTCAGTCTAAAATGGATTAGTACTTTTTCCTACACATGCATCCAATAAGCCTTTGTTTGCTTTTTTACGCTGTACAAGCAAAAACATTGTATGCATGTCGTTTTTCTTGTTACATTTTGCAGCAAAATGTCAAATCCCCTGTAAGACATGTGATTGCATTACGCAAGAACATCTGCTCTTCTTCCATGTGCTGAGCATTCATGTGAAACAGATGTTCGCAGAATGCTACAACAATTAGCACAAGCTCCCCCCGCTTTAGTCACGGGGATTTCGCCCGTCCTTTTGTGCCACTTCCAGATGTACGACGCATTGATGATCAGCCCGTCTTAGATTAACACAACATTAAAAAGAGTGTTTGGAAGGAGAACTGCCCTGGTTTTAATATTTTAATGAGTAAAATGCAGAGAACAAACATACAGCATGGGAAATATTAAGCAAAACTTCCAGAGGAGAGCAATGTCATTTAAACGTTTGAAAAAAAAAAAAACTAGATGTAGAAGAGCTTCTGTAACGTACCTGGTAGTGGAGCCTGAGATGTGAAGGTACGCTTCTTATACACCTCCAGCTCAGGAACCCTGGTAAAGTGACAGGAACACCTGAGCTTGGAGTGGGCACGAGTGCCTGACTGGTCTTCCGTTGCAGGATACAGGAGAGCAGTGCTGTAGAGCAGGCTGGACTTCTGCTGAAGAGCAGGCTGTGTTTTGCAGAAGAATAGGCCGTGCTCGCAGATGAGTAGGTGGTGCGTTGCTGTAGAGCAGGCTGTGCTGGTGGCCCCTGGGCTACACTTTGGAGACCACTGTTCTAGATTTAAAACATACTGCTACCCTACTGATGTTGAGTTGAGGAAGCTTTAACCTTTACTAGACCCAAAAATTCTCCGGACCCCATCTCTGATCTTAATTTGGGAAAACATGTTTCTTTCCTCCATAATGCATAGCTAAAAGAATGTTGTTATATGATAGAAAGGTAGAATTGTCCTTTATTTGGATGAATATGTGATGTGTCTTGTCACAGTAGAATTGTGCAATTTCAGAAGAAGTTTGAGTTTCATAGTTCTTCAGATTGTCCAGTTTTATTTTATTTGTGCATGAAAGTGCTTGTCATACTCAGTCTGTCATTGTTATGTTGTTTTAATTGTTCCATATTTCTGTTTCCAACCAGACAAAGATGGTAGCATCATGTCAGAACAAGTCTCTGTCTCAAGTTCCAGTGGAGCTTCAACTTGGCATTAGGTCCCTCAACCTTTCAAGGAACAACTTGAAGAACATCACTGAAAAACCTTTGTCATTTTATTCCTTTCTGGAGATCTTGGACCTTAGCAGCAACAAAATAAGTTTCATTGAACCTCACAGCTTCGCAAACATGATCCACTTGAAGGAAATCAATCTTTCTGACAACAACTTGGACAGGGTTGTTTACTACAAGTCACCAGGAATAGGACTTTTACCAAATGTGCAAAAGTTGGACCTGTCAGGAAACAGTTTGTACACAGAAATTACATGGTATTTTTTACAAAATGCTCCTCACCTTCGCTACCTTTCTTTAGTAGGTAACAGCATCATAATGATTACCCCAGAAACCTTTCCAGGAACCCCTCTTTTGTCAGAAATCGACCTTGGCAATAATATTGTCATGGACATTGAGGAGGGCTCTTTTGACCACCTTGTGCATCTCAGGAAAATTAATCTAGCTATGAACTCCATTACTTGCATATCCAAATTTAACCTTTGTCAGCTTGAAAGCCTCAACCTCAGCAAAAACAGTATTCAGACATTCCACACGTTGGATTCAGAAGAAAAATACTATCTCAAACATGTTGACCTAAGTGACAACAAACTTGTACATTTTCCTATTTTGCCATCTGTTAACAATCTCATTACGTTAAATTTATCGATGAATCTTATTAGCTTTGAAGAAAACACATCTCATGTGGAACTTGCTTGGTTGGAAGAAGAAGGATCAAGGAACACTAGTATGGTTAATCTGCTCACACTTACCCATTTAGACTTAAGTTACAATAATATAAAATCCATACCAGAAGATTTCTTTAGCAGTATGCCAATGCTTAAATTCTTAAACCTGAGCCAGAACTGCATTGAATATTTTTCATTTGGACATACAGTTACATTGAACTTTTTGGAAGAACTTGACTTAAGTGGCAACTCCTTACAGAATATGTCACTTGCTGCACTCTCTCTACCTAATTTAAAAATACTTAATCTACAAAATAACCAACTGCACTTCACTGAATCTAGAACCTTCCAAGGACTACCCAGCATTGTCTATATTAATCTTCAAAACAATAATGTTGAGTTATGTGGTCTGAACAGAGAAATGCCCACACAAAATATGGAAAAGGAGGGGTGCATATCTTTTTTCAACATATCATCTCTGCAACATTTAAACCTCAGAGAGAACATGTTACAAGTCGTACCTGAACGTGCATTTTATGGCACGTCACTGACTTTTCTAGATGTCTCCAGGAACCTTGGCCTTGTTATAGCAAAAAATGCTTTGAAGGGGTTAGAAAATTCTCTAGAAGTTCTACACTTAGAAGACAATGCTATTGTTCATTTGAATGTTGACCTTCCTTTTCTAGTCCAATTAAGATATTTGAACTTGTCAGGAAACCATTTAACATGGTTGCCTACATGGAAGAGAAACTGTCAATTAGAAACACTTGATCTGAGCAACAACAGCTTCAGTAATCTAAAAGACAGCAATATTCCTGTGTTGGAGAACACACTGAGGATTCTTTCTTTGACTGGGAATCCATTAAGTTGCTGTGAAAATGGTTGGATCATCCATATGGCCCGAAGAAATACGGTAACTATCACGGCTCTCGATGCCACAACATGCCATAACTCTAATGGCCAGAAAGAGGAGATTATGCTGGAGCAGAACAAATTAGAAAACTGTGAAAAAAATGATGTAAAAAATACGAATACTGTAATAATCTTAACAGTGGTGTTGGTTTCATTGGTGACTGTAGTCGGCATCGGATCTTTGGCTTGTTACTGTAGGCAAAAACTTAACCAGCAATTAAAGGGTTAGCATGAAAGGTTTTGTTTTGTTTCTGACTTCTCACTCAGTTGGACTTACAAAATGTATAAGAAAATTAAGCAACAGGACTCAATGAACATTTCACAGTCTAAACAGTTTTAAAATCAACAGTTTTACTCTTTATTTTCACTCATACACGCCTATCAAAGAAAATCAATTTCAAATCTAATTTTCATCAATGTTGGTGAGACTATTCTTGACGAGGCAAAAAAGGTTATTCTTGGACGCCTTTTACTTTATTTTGTACTTCCTATGGCAGGTAACAATATAAAGGAAACATTTTTTTGAAGAAAGAAAATTAAAATTATTTTCTAAAATTCCTACAATTTTGGACCAAGGGCTAATCTTTATGTATGTTGAAATTATACAAAACAACAAACCTTGTTTGTAAGGGCTGAATCGAGTCAATCTAGAACTTTTCAAGATCTATCAAAAAAAATTCCAGTTTCTGCATAAAGGGCCTTAATGGAATTTCACATATCTATGGTGTTTTCTTTTAGTGATAGAAAAAGATTATTCTCTTTTAAAACAAACCTTCTATGCCAAAACAGGAGGTCCCTTTTTGCCAGCCCATTGTCCCCCCAACACAAATGGCTTTAAAAAGTCATCTGTAAACAAACAGATCACCCTGAAAAAATATTTCCTATTTTGGCCCTGGCTACATCCCTTCCAGGAGGCATAGGTGATGTCACTGTGCCTCATTACAGAGTTTTGAGCTTAAAATCCTCCAATAATACACTCCAGTCTGTTGCAAGACTGCATTCTAATCATATTTTGAGCATCCAGCTATCCCAGGAGGCACCAGTGAGGCATGGAGAAATCACCCTTGCAAGTGATCTGTTTACAGCTGGCTTTCTGTGTTGGGGGGCAGGGAGCTTTTAGAAAAGTGGATCTTCCATTTGACATGGAATGGTTCTCTTTTTTTTTATTATTATTATACAGTATTTATATAGCGCCAACAGTTTGCTCAGCGCTGTACATTACAATGGGAGACAGTACGCAAGACAATACACAGTAACAATACCATACAATACACGAGGGTTCGAGGGCCCTGCTCCTTGGTGCTTACAATCTAGGAGGGAGGGGATAGTGGTACAGGAGGAAATAGCTGTGGGGGATAGAGTGGTAGGAAGAGTGGAGGATATCGGCAATTAGGTGAGGGCGGTGTAGGCTTCCCTGAAGAGATGGGTTTTCAGGGTGCACCTAAAGTTGAGGAGGGTAGGTGACAGTCTGATGGATTGGGGTAGTGAGTTCCAGAGGATAGGGGAAGCCCTGAAGAAGCCCTGGAGATGGGCATGGGAGGAGGAGACCGGGGAACTAGAGAGTAGGAGGTCTTGTGAGGAACAGAGAGTACGTTTTGGGTGGTATATGGATATCTTTAATTTATTCCACATGCAGAACTCTGTTATTGCTGTCTTACCTGCAACCAACATGGTTTGAACCAAAGATAATCAAACCTTACCTGAAGCTGTTATAATGCATTCCTTTGACATGTACCATAAAGTGTAACTGTATTCAAAGCTGATATTTCAGTTTTGGCTGGGCAATAGTGTGTTGATATGCTGATTTATCACATTTCTCATAGACTAAACTGGCACAAACTGTCCATAATAGCTTGTTTTTCAACACCCCCCCCCCCCCCCCCCCCCAGTTTGCTCTGGAATATTCAATCCAGTGGGACACAAACATTTGTTTCTGTGCTGGCCACAGTAGTTGGCTGGAGTTGGGATTCCTGGTGGAAATATATTGAAACTGAAATCCCTGAGAAAAAACTGTAGCCAGAAAGTGGTTCAACTTGCCAACAACCTCACACACCTGAAATATTAATTTTGGACAGAGATGACTTTAAAAGGACCACTAAGCTTACAGTAGATGCAGTCCCTGAAATCTCATATAAGCTTTTACATTTTGCAGCTTTCATTAAAAGAATCTCTGGTGTTCCTGCCATGAAGGTCCTTGCTCAGCCACTTCCTTTTATGATGACAGAGCTCTGTCCCCATTTCCCAAATGTTTTAGAGCACATTGTAATGCATTACATTATGTTGGAACGCACTGTGTTGCATACAAATGTCCTATTTTTTTTAGCACACACCATAGAAATGATTTGATGTGAACTGAAGCCACTGGACTTGGCTGACTGCTTTATTCTTGCATTGGGACTACACTGGACAAAGCTGCTGGTGTGGTTGAGCCCCAAAATGACAGAGCCAACTTATATTGTGTTAGCATGATCCATGATGGACTCCCACCTCTCCTTCCTACCCCACATCCAACTGCTATCTAGATCTTGCAGGCTCCACCTCCGCAACATCTCCAAGATATGCACATTCCTCACCCCAGACACCACCAAACAACTCGTACACACCCTCATCATCTCACGCCTGGACTATTGCAATTCCCTTCTCACTGGCCTACCCAAACAAACGCTATCCCCACTCCAGTCGATCCTAAACTCAGCGGCTAGACTCATCCACCTCACCAAGTGCTCCACATCTGCCTCCCCCCCCTCTGCCAATCCCTTCATTGGCTCCCGATTGCCCAACGCATCAAGTTCAAGCTAACCCTGACCTACAAGGCCATCCACAATGCCGCCCCGAACTACATAACCGACCTGATACCCAGATACTACCCTACCCGTGCCCTCCGCTCCTCACAGGACCTCCTGCTCTCTAGCTCCCTGGTCTCCTCCTCCCATGCCCGATTGCAGGACTTCTCTAGGACTTCCCCCATCCTCTGGAACTCCCTACCCCAATTCATCAGACTGTCACCTACCCTCCTCACCTTCAGGGCGCACCCTGAAAACCCTCCTCTTCAGGGAAGCCTACCCCAACCTCACCTAACACCCGACCTCACCTAACAATTAACCTCCTCCACTCCACCCACCACTCCATCCCCCACAGCCATCTCCTCCTGTGCCACCTTCCCCTCCCTCCTAGATTGTAAGCTTGAAAGAGCAGGGCCCTCGAACCCCTCGTGTAGTATATTGTTACTGTCTTGTCTCATGTTATGTCCCCCTGCTACTGTACAGCGCTGAGCATACCCTTTGGCGCTATATAAATACTGTATAATAATAATAATAATCATTGGAACAAGGAAATGTAGACAGGACATTTCTAAAAGGGGTTGTAGGAGATCAGCAGCACTGAGATTCAACAGAAAAAGGGCAGGCGGAAGTCACAGCCCTGTCCAGCTATCAGCCTCTAATAGAGTTTCATAGGCTTCCAGCAGTAGGGTTGGACAGTGTGCCTGTGCCTTCCACCCACATCTAAACACCGGAGCCCCATGCATCGGGACTAAATGCCCAGTGTGCTTGAAGCCTTTGACTTTAGGGATTTAGAGCTGACAGCTGGCAGAAATCAATGGAAATACTCAACTCAAGCCATCTGTACATTGGAAAGTACTGTTCTTTGCTTCACCAAAATAATTTCAACACCTTCAGTATTGATCATTTCTAGGGATCCTTATGTATTTAAGTATGGATATCCCAGACTCATTTACACAGATTGGTAATTTATGCTTTGTGGTACTTTCATTGA